GCTGGAAATGATATAACCCTGTAGTAGATCTGGGATTCAAGTCAAACAGGATGACTCTAAAGCCATATAGATATATGTGAAATATGTCATGTGGTATTTTAATATTTACCAAAGTCTAAATTAATAAAAACACCTACTTAAAATGAAATGAAACTTTAAACAATCTACCAGTCTATTTTTCTTGAAAGTATAAAGTAGGTAGTTTTTTTTTTTAATAGTTTATTGTCAACTTGGTTTCCATATAACACCCAGTGTTCATCCCCACAAGTGCCCTCCTCCATGCCCATCATCCCCCTTCCCCTCTCCCTCACCCCTATCAGCCCTCAGTTTGTTCTCAGCATTCAAGAGTCTCTCATGGTTTGCCTCCCTCCCTCTCCCCAACTATTTTTCCCTTCTTCTCCCCCATGGTCCTCCGTTAAGTTCCTCCTAATCCTCCTATATGTGCAAACATACGGTATCTGTCCTTCTCTGCCTGACTTGTTTCATTCAGCTAACACCCTCAAGTTCCATCCATGTTGCTAGAAATGGCCAGTAAGTAGGTAAATTTTTTAATAGAAGGAAAAAAATCCCAGAGTATTATTTTCACAAATGGCTTATTAAGAAAGAGCTTTAGAAAATTTGATTCATAATTTCTTCTCCTTTTGATAATATATGTGCAATATATATTTTTGAATATTTATTCCATCTCCGTTTGATCTCTGTAGAGTAAGTAATTGCTTTGTTTCTTTTCTTTTTTTTTTTTTTTTTTTGTATATAGCCCATAAAATAACCAGACCTGCAAACTCACTCTGTTTTCAAAGGTTCATTTCATTATCACCTCATATCTTGTTTTCAGGAAAGACAGTTATCAAAAGCATCTCAAGTTTAGGTTTTCATTGCTTAGTGTCAAAGTTCAAACACTAGGAAAAAAATTAATTCTTATAAAAATCTCATTGCACATGATATTTAAATAACTTGACATCTCGACAAACAAGTGACAACAAATGTTTTTACACTTTAATGTTTAAGTTCTTTTAACTATTTCACACCAATCTCTTTCCACAGTCTTAAAAAAATATTTTTTCCAATTTATCATTTTCTCTTCACTATATCTATATCTTTTTTTCTTGGTCATTTTTTCCCTTTTTTCTCCTTTTTCTTTTCATTTTATTACTTTCATTATTCTCCTGATAGTTCTTTTAATCCATACTAATAATATGGATGGGAATAACATGTGCAAAATATCTGGTTTTAAATATGTTTTTAAAAAGTTAATAATTACCTCTCATGACAAGAATGAATAATATTTTCTGAGAATAAAAACAAAGAAGATATTACCAGAACTCCCCAAATGACATAAGACAGAGAAGTAGCTTTTATCAAGAAGGATTTTATTCCAGTTATTGGTAACAGAAAAACTGACTCGAAAAAAATGACTTTTGTCCTTCATATAATAAGTCCAAAGGCAGGTAATTCTATTGTTACTTCACAAACTCAGTGACATCAGGCCCAAGGTCAATACGATTTTCTTGACAACCGCTTGGTGGTAAGGGGTTGGTGTAGCATTAGCCATCATGCCAACATTCAAGGTAGGATGAAAGGAAACATACTTATCTGGAAAGCAAAATATTCCTCGACTTTCTCTGCCAATTTCTGTTTTCAATTTGTAGCAACAGTAGTGTTCATAGGGCCAATTCTTCTTGCCCAGAGCTGGGGAGTGTATTTTACCCACTAAAGATTGCCACCTGCAAAATAAATAAATAAATAAATAAATAAATAAATAAATAAATAAAGTTTCTCTCAATAGAAATGGAAGATGAATATCAGATAGATGTATTTGTTATACATTTCTGTGCAGCATATTAACCCCAAATCTAGTGATTTGAAAGCACAAATATTTACTGTCTCACACTTTCTATAGATCAGGAATTTAGGATCGACTAAATGATGGCTCACTCACTTTTAGCAGGACGCCTCGTTCCTTATTTCATGGGCCTTTCCATCAGCTGCATGCATAGATAGGAGTAGACAGTACTCTGTCCCACAATCAAGTTTCAATTTAAGCAAAAATAAATCTCTTGCCTCAAGTGAGTGTGATTTCTTAGAGCAGCTCACCAGTGATGCACTCAAATAATAACACCTCTAATGTATAGTTGAATTTATTATGCAGTAAGTCCAAAATTAAGCATGTAGCTGTTTTAACTTGCAAGGTTGCCATAAAAAAGTACCACAAGCCAAGTCGCTTAAACAACAGAAATTTATCGTGTCACCCATATTAACATGTACAGTGATTGCAGTATGCCTATGTGATATAGCTATACTTACTTCTTCTGTATCAGACATCCTAATGGCTTTTCCTAATATGCATCAGAGAAACCAAAGAACTGCCAGCTGATAAAGAAGCATATATAGTTTCTTTTCTAAGTGAATCTCATTTGGTTTAATAAATAGCTTTTTTATAGGCTGTATGTGTTATCTTCACAAAATAAAGTTACTTGATTACTGATGTTTTTAATCCAAGATTATAGTTTTGTTTATTATAATTAACATTATCATGGAAGAATAACCTTTACAGATCTTGGAAGTAAAGTATTAGTATACAACTTAAAGGAAATAGGGAAGTATTAAAAAGCACCAGCTCTTATATTTGTATGCTTTTTAGGAACCTGAACTTAGAACTTCTAAACTTGGAGGTCATATTTGCCAGTGAATTTTTTTTTTTCTGAACCATGCTCTATAACCTTTTAGAAATTTGCCAACAGGGTAAAGATACTCTCCTTAACAGCCTGCTGGTATGCTAGAGGTGTCAGAGCTCAGGATAGCTGCTTTTTAATTGCCATGTCCAAGGTCTAATTATTTTCTTTCTATTGGGGCAAGAGAACTGTAATGAGGAAGTAAAATCATTAAACACCAGTGAGTAAGAGAACAGAGTCTTCTTGAATTCTGCAGTGAATTAGCTTCCCGTGCAAAGCTGTGGCCATGGCTAATTTCTATCTGAACATTTCCTTCTCAGTTCTTTGAGAGGCCATATAAAATATAAAAGAAGACTACAGAATTCTTGGAGTCTTTAAGGAGAAGGGAAGACAATGGATTAAAAGGCCATTATTACATGTTGACTTGTAGACTGTTAAGAGTTTATTAACCCCAAAGTGTCATTGTGTTTTATAAATGAGTAGGATAGTATGCAAGTTCAGACTACACACACGGTGAACATTGCCACTTGAGTAAGTGTTGTTGCTTTGAATCCTCAGAATTTAGACCCTCGGATTTCTATGAAACCTATTTTGCTGTATCACAGATTATTTATTATACTGGCATTCATGAATCTGTATTTTTCTGTAATTCTCAGCTACGTGAGTAAATTACCATATGACCAAACTGTCTCAGAAGCAGGGTTTGCTATTGTAGTTATTACAAGGCTGAGAAATCACAAACCATTGCTTCATAAGAGTATGTGTGTGTACATGTGTGTTTATAATGCATGATGTTACTGTGCAGCATGCTAAATAAACTGTATGTGTATGTGTTTATGTGTGTTTATTTACCACTTAGGAAACAGCAATACACATGGCAGAGATTGAGCTAAGTGCTTTTACACGTCATCTGATTTATTTTTTTTTTATTTTTATTTTTTTAAATATTTTTATTTATTTCTAGGCGAGAGAGAGAGACAGCGTGAGCAGGGGAGGGTCACAGAGAGAGGGAGTCACAGACCGAAACAGGCTCCAGGCTCTGAGTTGGCAGTCAGCACAGAGCCCGACGCGGGGCTCGAACCCACGAACTGCGAGATCATGACCCAAGCGAAAGTCGGACGCCCAACCGACTAAGCTACCCAGACGCCCCTGATTTATTTTTATAATACTTCTCTGATGAAGGCATTTTCTGCATTTATTTGATAAAGAAACTGGGACTCAGTAAGTGGCATAGATGGGATTTGGACAGAGGTTTGTCTATCTCTAGAGACCATTAATGTAAGCACACAGTGACCATATTCTTCCCTTTCACTGCAAAACATCTCCACTAATTTGCTGATGCTGAGTACAACTAATTTTATATAGGTCTATGAGGAAAAAAAAATTAGATTTCTCTGGGAATTCAAAAAACATCTGCCCTCATATCAATCTTTGAAAATTCTAGCAGTGAGCAGGAAATTGGGTTACTTCTGTGATCACATTGATAATTCCAATAGGCAAATTGTAGTCGCAGTGAGTCCCTGGAGTCCAGCCAACCTGGCAGCCTTGATGTTGGCCTCAGTGGAACTGAACCACATGTGTGTGGGAGGGAGTAGGGCTGGATATACCATGGTTGCTTAATATTATTTCACAGGCTGACTGAAGAATCACGGCTGAACAAACCTGAACCCACAAAGGAAAATGAATGTCAGAGGAACAAGCCGGTGTCATCTCACACAGCAGTGGAGACGGAGTTTTCTGGAGCCAAAGAGTGGGGTAACATAAGCCCACAGTCTGGATTCAAGGGTTTCACAGGTTATTAGTATGAGTGATCATTCACATCTCAGGTCTAACAACTTGAGATAAGTAACTGGATGTGTTTGAGCCTCAGTGTCCATACCTGCAAAATGGAAGCTTGAGTGTTTTCTCATAGAGTTGTTGGTAAGGATGAATGAGGCCTTGTTTTTGAAAGGAACCACAATACAGCACCTGGTCCATAAAAGCATAATAGTAGTTGTAGCAATGATAATAATAGTAATTCTCTTTGCAGCCATATATGTCAGGGATATTGGCATAGTTGTCCTCAAATGTATTGTGTCAGATTTGTCACTGGAGTCTTAGTTTGGGCTGTTATAACAAAATGTCATAGACTAGGTGACATATAAACTATAGAAATTTATTTCTGACAGTTGTGGAAGCTAGGAAGTCCAAGATCAAGGTGCTAGCAAATTAGGTGTGTCCAGGGGTCTACTTCCTAGTTCATAGACAGCCATGTTCTTACTGTGTCTTTATAAGGTGGAAGGGGCAAGAGAGCTCTATGGGGGTCTCTTTCATAAGAATACTAATCTCATGCTCACTTCAACAGCATATATACTAAAATTGGAATGGTACAGAGAAGATTAGCATGGCCCCTGCACAAGGATTCCACGCAAATTCGTGAGACGTTCCATATTAAAAAAAAAAAAAATACTAATCTCATTGTTGACGGTTGTACCCTCATGACTTCATCACCTTCGAAGGCCCCACCTCCGAACACCAGAACATTGGGGATTATGTTTCAACATATGAATTCTAGGGGGACACAATATCCAGTCAATGGCAGAATCCCTGCTTGAACTTGGGATCACGCTGTCTAGATGGAACCCATCAGATCTCTCCCTACCATTTGGACATTTTTTTCTTGCATTTTCCAAGACCATTTTCGAGATGGACATACATATGTATAATCATTTGCAACTTTTAAGAACTTTTTATTTAGTATAATGCATATATGGGAATGTACATATTTTAGACTTATGGTTTGATAAAATTTCACTGACTGCACAGTTTTGTAACCGGCACCTAGTTGAGAAATAGAGTATTTCCTCCAGTCACTACATGCCTCCCTTCCCCTCCCAGGGAGTGTATTGTATGCATTAATAGATTAGTTTTGCCTATTTTTGAGATTTATAAAAATAGAGCCTTATGGTTTGTACATGCTTATATCCCAGTGATTTCACTCAACATTAAATCTATGAGTTTTATCCATATATTGCACGTAGCAATCCTTTGCTCTTTTTTGTTTGTTTGTTTTAAAGAAATTGCTATTTAATATATTCTATTGTGAGACTATACCACAGTTTATCTATTTTCTTTTTGATGAACATTTGGGTAGTTTCCAGTTTTGGAATATTCTGAATAGAGATTCTGTGTTCCTGTGTGTGCTTTTTAGGCTACAAATTAATATTTGTGCACTGACAAGCATGCATATTTACCTAGATTTGAGATCTATAGAACATAGGGTATGTATATGCTAATAATCCTTTGGAAAATGCATATGTCAATTTACATTCCCACCAGCAGTGAACTGGACTATTTTCAATGATTATTGGTTATTAAGAATTATTCTCCCTGCATTGTGATTCCTCTTAAAGCATTCAGCTGAACAGAATGCGGCTGTATTAAGGGCTGGTCCATGTGGGCACTAGATCCCATCAGGATGGCTGAGAGCAGGGCATATGCCCTGCCCTATGATATGTGTGAGAGACTACAGAGCTATTAGAACCATGCATTTCTGCCTCTGTTTTACAGCTTGGTATATTTTGATGGCAATCCTTAACAGCTGCAGATTTCTTTTCCTAATGTTTTCTTAGAAACTGAAACGAGTTTGAAAGCAGCCTGATTCATATAGACCACACAAGTTAACAGAGGCATATTAGATAACACAAATATTGGCTAGAGTGGCGCCAGAGAACAAAAAAGAAAAAACTTACTTATTGGGTAACTAGTAGATCCAGGCATGAAATTCAGTAATACGCTGTTTAAACATAAAAGGTTAAGCATAAAAACTTGTTTGAAATTGTAGAAGTGTCTGACAGCTAGTGTAAGGAATGTGTGAGTTTTTCACACTGACATCCCCCCACACCAAGAGCAGTTTCAACTTATCAGGTGGCCTCCAATTTTAGCAATGAGGAGGAAAATGGGTTATAAGTATGATACCTCTGTTAATTCAAACCATTCACAAACCTCTGTATTTTGGGAAGAGTCATGCTAAAACCACAAGCCAGCAGGAACAAGTAAAAATTTCAATAATGGATTGAGCATTTACAGAGCTTGAGGTCTTATACACTCTTTTCCCACTTTAATCCTCAAACCCTGGAAGCTTTTAGTATTTTCACTATCCTTTTCCCCACAGATCAGTCCCAGAGACGTTAACTAACTTGACTAAGTTCCCAAAGTTTGCAAATGACAGAGCCATTTTCAAATCCAGGTTTATCTGATTTTTCACTGCCTCATGTTGCCATAGGAACATGAAAGGGAACTAGCTGTATGTTTTGGCAGTAAATAGCAGAAAAAGTATTTAAAAAATTCTCTGATAGACTTTTAAAATGCTCTTTAAATCTCCATCATTCCATTCTCTCTGATAGGAGTAGCCAAGTATCACTTGGTTCTTTCATTTTGTGCTATCTTAGAAAGGCTAGCCAGGACTGGAGGATTGTCTTTGTTGTCTTCCCTCTTCCCTCTGCGTCCATCTCTGTCCCCTATGTTTTAATTATCTAACCCTTCCCTCTTCTCTCTAGTGGCCTTATCAGTAAAATGGGTCCTTAAATTGTTTGGAAGTCTTCACTAATACAAATTTCCTAGCCCATTTCTAAAATGAATTAGGAAGCATCTCTTAGGGTGGCAAAGGAATTCATCGTTGTTTGGGGGAGTGATATTCTTACAGACAAGTCTTTCTGAGCCGCGGTTCAAATCACACCAGAGTCATCACATTATGTTGTTTCTAAAGATACAGCTAATGTGAGCTAAAGTGACTTTGGCGTGTGTTTTTCCTGTCTATCTCAGGAAAATATGTAAGATTCAACTTTGGATTGGACAAAATTATGAGTGGAGAAAAAATGATCAGACTTGTTCTATCAAAAGTCATTATCAGATGTCTTCATTCCAAACTCAGAGTATACATAAAATGGCCTGCTGCTCACAGCATGACTGTAGCAGTCTACTTCTCTTCCTCAGTCAGGATTATGGTAATCTATTGTCCAATTCTCAATATTAGCTCATGCTTTTTCTATGTATAAAAATTTGTGTTATTTTCTCACTTCATAGAAATGTTTCACCTTTTTCTTTCAAAAGGTAATTATAATGATTATAATGACCTGTGTATGATAACACACTCACATGAAAAAATCACAATTGCATTTTTCCCATTTCCACTAAGAAACTGTAAAGGAGTCTTTGGATTTGTGTCATCATTTCCATTTCCTCCTCTAGCCCATCATTTACAGAAAGCTGACAACACACAGCATTTAATCAGCAGGTCACCATGGCCTTGCAGCTCTGTGTTTTTCAATTAGAATTTAATTTGGAAATTTACACTGTACCATATACCATAACTCAGTTTTCTTATTCATTATAGATTTACATTGTTAAGCAATAAGGTAAAAACAAAATTATATTCACCAGATTCTTAACAAGATGCCTAAACAATTGACAAATAATAGTTTTTTAAGTAACTTTCTAATCTTTGTATTCTCCATAGTCTTCATATCCTTTTTACTTTTTATCTACTCTAGGCCTTTTATTTTAAAACTTTATAATACCTTACATAATCACCAGTCAATATTTATTAGATCATTATTTCCTATATTTAGATTCATTTCTTATATTTTAACAGATACAATGAAAGAAATTGCGCAGGAAGTTTGTCTACTGTGGACCATGTTAAACAATTAGATTAACACCTTTAGTTCTCACCTCAGTTATGTGAGATAGGCATTATTGCCCCCTTTTTCCAGATGAAAAAACTGAGTCTCAGGTTAAGTTATTGTCCTAATGTCATACATAAGAAAGGTCAAATAAGGATTCATGATCAGGATGCTCTGATATCAAGCTGCTTTTAAGAGTGAGAGCAGATTATTCTGCTTTTGAAATGGCTGACCTTTCCTCTTTGTTGCATAGTCACATGGAATATTGTATCTAGAGGGGAAAAGAAAGGAAATTCAAAACCCCTGATTCACCTAATTGCCAGTGCATTGATAGTGATGAAACAAATGTATAAGTACCCAGAGAAGTATAGGGGTGGTATTAGTCAGTCAAAATCCATTCAGATACTAGCAATTGGCTATTTTTGTAAAATGTAGCATCCTTTAAAAAAACTTTTTTTTTCAGATAACTGAGTTTTATTGATTCAAGCACCAATTTAAAAAGGTTAAGATTAGGAGGAACTTAACGGGGGACCATGGGGGAGAAGAAGGGGGGAAATGGTGGGGGAAAGGGAGAGAGGGAAACCATGAGAAACTCTTGAATGCTGAGAACAAACTGAGGACTCATGGGTGTGGGGGGGAGGGAGGGGGAAGATGGGCATGGAGGAGGGCACTTGTGGGGATGAGCACTGGGTGTTATATAGAAACCAACTTGACAATAAACTATTTGTAAAAAAAAAAAAAAAAAAAGGTTAACTTTTAATGAAAATCTTCCTAAAACATTTTATAGACATTCCTGCATATTTGGACAGACCACCCAGGGACATAACTTGGAAAATCCAAAATTTTACTATGCAGCAGAATATCCCTAGGTCTCTTTTTATTTATTTTCAGCTTTCCTCTCTTGACATTATTGTTCTTATGTCTGAGTCGACTCGATTCTTCCATCAGTTGCTTTTTCTTCTAGTGTGCTATGAACTGCAAAACCATGTAACACAGCATTGCAAAAAAAAAAAAAATCTGTTTGGAGTGATTGGAAGTCTTAAAGAAAGAATTAGAATAAAATAGAACTTCAGTTACATCTTTCTGGGGACACCAGAGAAGTTTTACAGTTTGCAATACCGATTTATTTATTTATACACTGTTTTGTTCAGTGCACATGAAAAAAAATAATTGTAAACATACATAATGAGAAAAAATGTGAGGACTAGAAATGTCTAAAAAAGAACCAATATAAATGGGATTTTTGGCTGCCAAACCAAAAATGAAGACTTAGTCAAAATTTTTGTTATCATAGAAGATAATGCCTAACAGAAATAGCAGTATTTTCCTGTCCTAAGTCCTAAAAGAAATTTTTTAGGAAGCTTATTATATATCTTTTAAAAATTCCTGTATTTAGGATTGTGTTGTAGTGGATTAAAAGATGTCACTTCTTAGTATTGCTTCCAATAAAATCATAATAATCATCAGTAAACAATAATTGAATAATTATTATGCTAAAAATACTTTGAATCAAAGAATGAAATACAGAGGTTTGCTCCCTAAAAGCCTTAACCATCTTGCTGGAAAACATAGACAGAACTCATATAGCTAGGCAACAGAACTTAGCATATGCTGTCATTACTGAAATTGTGTTAATCATAGATATAATATTCTCAGCATAGTTCTTCAATTTCATGACTAAAACAAATTAGTGAAGTTTCCCTAAATGCTTATAGGACATTTACATCACCTAAGTCAGCCAAAATATCTGATCTACCATTTTTGTGGATACC